TGTAAATCTAGAACACTGAATACTCTGTTTGCTAAAAGGGGATGTTTTACTTGGCAAGTGACCCTGGTAATGCCTCATCCACAAAATGGCCATCAGATTAGCAGAATCTGCTACTACTCAAAGTGTCCATGCCTACCGAGGGTCCACAGAAGGGGGCCAGGGACTATGGTTCTCCCAGGTTGTTCTCTCCCTCTCTTCCTGGGACCCCTGCACACTAGTGGCCCATTCCTCAAGGCTCAAGAATTCAAATTGCACCACCAGGCCAGGAAATATTTGGACTGCATGCCCCATCCTGCCCTCCCTTGTAGTTGTCCCTCGCTTCCTACAATCCTGCTAGGGAATTTGCCAGAATGGCACATCTGTAGCAAGTGATAAAAAGTGAAACATTAAGTTTGAGAGGACAGCGTAGCCAAAAATAACTGCCACTCAGCCATCTCCTTCTTCATCTGAGAGGAAGAGCAAAGAGCCTTATTTGTGTCTTAAAGTTGTTCATGAATTAGGATTACTAGATTTTACAAATAAAAATGGAGTACACTCAGCTAGACTTGAATCTCATCTGACATTTTTTTTAATTCGTCTGACATAATAAAAAAAAAGTATCAATTGTTTACCTGACATTCAAATCTAACTGTGTATTCTGTATTTCATCTGGCAACTCTAGTTTAAATGTACCTTCGTGTTCAATAAAAAGAAAAGAAAAATAAGTGTCCAACCAGTTGTTTGAAGTTATGTCACAAGTGCCCCGAGTGTAGCTACTTGTCTCTTACCAAGGGCTTGGACATGTGTACAGGTTCAAGCCTTCCCTCTGCCACTTCCGATCGAGCCTTGCTTAATTATAGTTTCATCGTCTATTGAAAGAAGAAATAATTTTTGTCCTATGTGCCTTCAAATTTTCAAAGCAAAAAGTGATAATAAACTTCTCAATGCATGTACATGTACCTACATAGATTTAAACATTGTGCTTTAGGCCATTTTGTGTTTAGCTTTTTCCAAATTTTGGGTTTTCATCTGTCAGCACCATATATACATATCAGTGCTTTGTTAGTGCCTCCATGGTATGACACAATACTTATATTTCAGAGTTAATGTCTCCCCAGTTATTAAATGTTTATCATGTTCCTAGTTTTTTTCCTACTACAAAAAGTATTATATTGGTCTTCATACAAACTTTTTTATTTCGGTTTACTTCACTGGAACATGTTCCTCAGAACCAATTGCTTAGCAAGTGTGATTTATAGTCAATGGAACCTGTGGATTCACCTGTTTAACTGGGGCCCGCCCACATTGTGTTTTGACCTTTTGACTTATGCTAATTATAGAAAAGCATAGTCATTGTTCTAAATGGAGCTTTTAGTCAGGGTGGTTGAACACCTTTCGGTATCTCATTTTCTAACTGTATTTCAACAAACATAAATATGTCTATGTCTCTTTCTTGGCTCAGCCTTTCTACATCATGGAGGTAGACTTTTCTGGGTATCTATCTTTTGGGTGGATATGTATATCTTTTCATTGTTTTTATCTTTCTGTTCTTTCATTTTAGTTTTGTTACTATCCATCATATAGAATGTTTCTTTAATTTAATTGAACCCATCCTTGTCACTAATATTTTTTTCCACAGTTGAGATGATAGTCTATTTCCTTTCCTTCTAAGATTTGTTTTGTTTTGTTTTGTTTTGTTGGAGACAGAGTCTCACTGTGTCACCCTCAGTACTTGGTAGAGTACCATGGCATCACAGCTCACAGCAACCTCAAACTCTTGGGCTTAAGCAATTCTCTTGCCTCAGCCTCCCAGGTAGCTGGGACTACAGGCACCCACCACAATGCCTGGCTATTTTTTGTTGCAGTTGTCATTGTTGTTTAGCTGGACTGGGCTTGGTTCAAACCCACCAGCTTCAGTGCATGTGGCTGGTACCCTAACCACTGAGCAACAGGTGCCAAACCCCTAAGTTGTTTTTTTTTAAGTTTACAATGTTTATATAACTGATGACAAACTTATTGTGGTTTGTAAGAATCAAGAGGTGTATTGAGGGAAGTAAAGGATTTAGAATTTCAAAAAAACATCTAATTTGAGCCCAGCAGACGTAAACGAATCATTTCACCTCTTCTAATGTCTCTTTGCCTTTCCCACAATATTTAGCAAGGTGCCTTGTGTATAGTATAAATATTATAATGCCTATATTTGAGTTATACTTTTGTGTATTACTATCAATTGTTCTAACAGCATTTACTAAATAATACTTCACTCCTCCATTATTTGGTGGCTTACAGTGGGTCCTATATCATTGACGCCCAGATGTGTTCCAGCGGCAAAGCATCTGGAAGTTGCAGCTCTTTTTGCATAAGGTCACGAAATACAGAGATGGTAATCTTAAAACTAGGAAAATTAAAATTTTATGCTAATCCAGGCAAACAGCTTAGATGAGATTCTAGTATAGTTACCATGTGATTAGACTCCAACAGTTTTTTAAATTTTATGGTAGAAATGTTGAAATTGAGACACTTCTATCCAATAACTCAATGCCTTGTAAGTATCAGGAAAAGGATACCAGCCAGGAGAACAGCAGATTCATCAAGAGCAAAAATTGAGAACCACATCTTATACTAAGAATTGCCAGTTAAGAAAATATAAATAAAAGCCTCTGATCAAGTGTAAAAATACCAAATAAGCAGGAAGCCTAGCTGAACTGGGCTGACCTCCATCTGAACCCAAAGACCACGTGAGGTCAGCAGCCTTTTGTGTTGCCTTGGATGGAATTCCCTCAATATTAGAAAGTGTGAGAGTAGATGTCAGAGCTCCAGGGCATGAGCACACCAGCAACCTGACCTTGGGAGACTTCTGTTCATTCATCAAACTCACGCTCTACCATACAACAAAATATGGACTTTGCAAAACAAACAGAGAGTAGATATGTTGGAACCATAAGAAAGAACCCATCTCAATTCTAGCTTCTTTGTGCTTTGAAGACGATGCCACGGTGACAGACCAAGTGCTGTCCCCTGCACAGTGTTGGTGAAGATGTGGACAGGGATGCCTGTTAAGGCCACTGGTATCCTCTGCAAGCAACATCATTTTGCTCTGTTTTTCATTGAGCTTACTTCTACTTAGACCTCTGACTCAAAAAAAATTTTTTTATTGAGAAAGACAATCTAGGCTTGGCATAGTGGCTCACACCTATAAATCCTAGCACTCTGAGAGGCTGAGGCAGATGGATTGCTTGAGCTCAGGAGTTCAAGACCAACCTGAGCAAGAGCAAAACTTCATCTCTACTAAAAATAGAAAAATTAGCAGAGTATTGTGGCAGGTGCCTGTAGTCCCAGCTACTTGGGAGGCTGAGGTAAAAGGTTTACTTCAGCCCAAGAGTTTGAGGTTGCTGTGAGTTATACTCCACCCAGGGCAACAGAGCAAGACTCTCTCTCAAGGAAGGAAGGAAGGATATGTTTAAAAAAATAAACAAATAGGGTGGTGCTTGTGGCTCAAAGGAGTAGGGTGCTGGACCCATATACAAGAGGGGGCAGGTTCAAACCCAGCCCCAGCCAAAAACTGCAAATAAATAAATAAGTCTGTTATAACAGGAGGTAAGTGATCTGCTGTTGGATACCCACCCTGCCATTCAACATGTATTTGCTTGTTTCTCTTCTGAAAAAAATGAGCATTTAAATGAATGGTTTCTAAAATCTTATATGGTTCTAATAGTCTTATCCAAACATAGCTGTGTCCCAATTCAAGAAAAATCAAGATATAAAACTTTATTCTTAGGCTGGGCGTGGTGGCTTATGGCTATAATCCTAGCAATCTGGGAGGCTGAGGCAGGTGAATGCCCGAACTCATGATTTTGAGATCAGCCTGAGCCAGAGCAAGACCTTGTCTCTAAAAATAGCCAAGTGTTGTGGCGGGCCCCTGTAGTCCCAGCTCCTTGAGAGGCTAAGGCAAGAGAATCGCTTGAGCCCAGGAGTTTAAAGTTGCTGTGAGCTGTGATGCTACAGCACTCCACTGAGGGCAACAAAGTGAGACTCTGTCTAAAAAATATAAACTTAAGAAACAGAAAATTTGCTCTTTGTAGTGGTCCTTGCTAAGTTGTTCACTCTCTACTTAGAAAATTCCCCCAGAAATTTTTTAAATATTGGCATTCTCTGAAGAAGCTGATGATAAGCACCCTGTCCAGAAAAGTGGTCTGGACAATATCCTATGACAGGTGTGTCTGCATGTGTGTGTGTCTGTGTGTGTATATCTGTGTATATGTGTGTATGTTGGCAAGAAGTTAGAACTGCTAAATTCTGATTCTGATGTACAGCCACAAGGATAGCAGATTACACAAAAGTCATTTGCTTAGAAGGGAAATGAATCATGACTTCATCTTACACGTGGTTTCTTAATCTCTGGCACACTCTTGGTCCCGGGTTCTGAAATCAGGACTGAGAGGGAGACGGTGCTCCCTGGAATCATGCAATCGTCCTTTCCCCTTCTCTTTTACATTCCCTCCAGAGACCGCATGGATCAGTGGTATTGTTCAAAGCATTTCAGTAAATACTCGCTTAAGCCATTTCTCCCCCCAAAATATGTCCCACCAGAAAGTTTTGCTTCTCATCTCCCCAGGAGTATGTGTGTTCCAGATGTCTTTGAACTCTCCCTGTAGGATGTGGTGCAAACAATCTTGGTTGTCCTGAGATATCCCACTAAGAGCACACTACCCCGTAAAGGGTGACCATCAACTTTTACTTCCCCAGTGTGGACAAACCAGTTTGCTTTCTGTTACTCTAGATTGCTGATTCAGGTCATAAAAATAAAGGCAAAGTTACAGACCATGGCTCCTGTTTACACCTAGCAATACCTACCTGTGTGTTTTGGGGGAGATGATTATCTCCTATTAGCGAAGCTGCTACCACGTCCATTAAAACAGGACACAGTTTCTACTAAGTGCATTTATAGGAAGAGCTGTTTTTCACTTAATTTTCCCAACACCTGGGATGGGTTACAGTAAAGTTTTTCTATCTCGTTGCAGGTTTAGAAAATGGTCTTGCACAGAAGCAGCGAACACCTCGCCGCCGATGTCAGCAGCCCAAACTGTTGAGTAGCCCTGAGGACACCATGTACTATAACCAGTTAAATGTGAGTTCAAAGTGGCCATAAAGCTGTTTCCCTGGCTTTGTTTCCAGTTAATAATTTTGTTATTAATACCTGTTCCAGCCCCTCCAGCCCCACCCCCACTCTCTTATGCTCTCGTCTTGAACATGTGCTTAGGCTCTTTATCTGTTGCTTTCATGTCAGGATGTCTGCCTTCACGGTGAATAATTGATGTGGTTTATCAAAGACGAGCAAGATGCATGCTTCATCAGGCTCACTTGAGCCCTTTGATCAAAAAAATTATGCTGTGACTTCTGATATTATCAGCATCTGCTTGCATTCAACACAAAATCACTTTGAATTAAAAATTAACGACTTGCTGCTTTGCTTTGACTGTGCGTTCTTGGCTCTCTCCACAGGGAACTCTAGAATATCAAGGGAGCAAGAGGAAGCCAAGAAAACTTGGGTAAATATCTGTCTTCTTAGTTCTAAGCAACTGTAAACAGAAGGGGGTCTTTGTGATATCACAGAAAATGCAAAACTTTCTAGAGAGGCTTCTAAAAATATGCAATCCAGATAGCACCACTATTATTGACACTGGAAACTACTTCTCACAGTAGCAAGTATACAAGACTTGAATCTATTCTGTCCGAAAAGGCTGAAATTGTCACCTAAGGGCAATTGTTATTTCTCACAATGATTGCAGGGAATTGCACTTTCTTCATAACTAGAGACGGGCGGCGGGTTGTATAAAACTCTCCTTCCACCAATAAGAACTCTCTACAAAGCGCAAATAGGGCTACTTCCTCCGCAGTATCCTGTTCCTGGACCTTAAAGCATGCACAAAGGGAAACTTTCCCCAGTGGTTAAAGGATAATAAGGAGTTTGTGGCTCATTTGCTTATTAGTGTCTCATCTGAGAATAGCAATGGGGTAAGTAACCAGTACTAGTTTGAGAATTGGGGGAGGTCAGAAGACTTTTCTCATCTAGAGGGAACCAGAGAGGAAAAGACAATTTACTCATATAAATCAAGTTACAATATGACTACATGTTCCAGACACTACTCAGTTGGGCCCATTGTGAGTGTGTGACCCAGAGGTGAAATCAGACCCCCGCTACTTCTGTGCAGGGAGACCCTGAGTTACCTATGCTGTCCTTCCCCTTCAGTGCTGGGACCCATCCCTGTTCAACTGCTCACACAACTTTAGCTCCCCGGTAATGACTGTGGCATCTGGTTTCTTTCTCTATTGAAAATCCTGATCTTTCTCTTTGTTGCAGCCAAATCAAAGTGCTTGATGGGGAAGATGAGTATTACAAGTCTCTGTCACCTGTGGACTGTATTCCTGAGGAGGACAACCCAGCCCACCCTTTCTTTTTTTCCTTATCCTCCAAGGGGGACTCTTTTGCTCAACACTGAGTTGTACTTCCAGAGCCCAAATCTGTCCAGGGTAAGAACCGTCATGGTATTTATCATTGAAAAAGAGAGGACTGACATGGGGTCAGTTTCTTTGGGTGCACAGTCCATGTCTGAACCTTCCTGAACAATTTGCAGATTCCAAAACATCTTCTCATATCTCTGTCACTCTCCCACATCTGGTGCGCAGCCTGGGCTGGGCAATCCCTTCTTTTCTCATCCTATGGGGCCCTGAGGGACACTGAGACCCCTCAACAATGGTAATAACAGTCATCCTTGCCCCCGGTATCTAAGAAGGTAACAGTCTCACCACAGACCATTTGTGAACACCAATCTAATAGTATTTGTTTATTTTTTCTGCCAAGTCATTTTTCAGCCCATGCAGAATATGCCCCACAGGGAACCCAGGAGTCTCTTTCCTGCTCTCTTCTCCATCCTTCCCTCTTCCCTGGGCTTTTCTACCTCTCCCGCCTCCTCCAGGGTCAGAGCTCCATGGCTGAGTGCCTTATCCTGGAGGAGTACACCCACAGGCTCCTTGGACAGGATAATTTCCTGTGTTTAGGCAGAGAGGCCTAAATCTTTCAGATTCTTTCTATAAAGCAAATAACCTTATAGAAATTATTATAAGCCTTGCTGAGAAAGGCTTTGTCTCTTGATTCTACCTTGCCAAAACACCTTATCACTTTAGTAATAAAAAGGAATGAGCAGGAACGAAAATTTAGACCTGTTCAAATCCAGGTCATGTCGAACTCTTCATCGATCAGCCGACTCTACTAGACTTTGAGTGGCTACAGGGAAAGGATCTTATCTTGCTCATCTTTGTGTACAAAGAGCCAAGCACAGTGCCTGGCAGAGTGGGCATCCCGTGAATGTGGAATGAGTAGGGAGACTTCTCTTAGTTCCACAAACATATCTGATGGGAATAGTACTTTCAATTATGTATTATACGTGATTGATCACTTTTCTTATACCATAGGCTCTGATACTTTTATTCAAGGCTGAGCTAATCCTGAGCTAATCCTATTGTAATGATGTTATATATGATAATACTCAATATGTTCAAATGACAAACGTTTTTGAGCACCTGCTCTATATAAAACAGTAGGTGAGATTACTGTGCAACATAAAAACATAAGAACCTGAAAGACCCTCTCTCTGTATGTTATTAACATTTTTCTTATTTAAAATATTTGATAGATAGTATAAAGAGAGTACTACTTAGATTTGGGGGAAAATAATCTTGAAGAAGTAGAAAAAAACTCACCAGTTTTGACAGGGAGAACATTAATATGCATTTTATGAACATAAATAATGAGGCATTTAATGATCTGGAAATTGTAATTTTACAAGAAAAAGAAGTATAACCAATTTTTCAATCGATAAACTTTACTATTTTTAAAGTGAGTCTTGTCTGTCTTCCAGATCTTTACCCAAAAGGTAATGTTTATAAGATATGCAAGTAGAACAGAGGAAACACAAACTTTATTTTATTATTTTAAAAAAATACTTAGATGATATAGATTTTTCTTATTGTTATTAATACTATGTGAGTGCTTTTAGAAGTTTTGCTTTTATCATTGATTTGTTTGGTTTGACAATATTACCCGCTTTTCAAACTGGTGAATGGTCATGTCCACAGCTTCCCACTTGCCCACGTACAATATAATTATAATTATGAAACTGCCTTGTTTTTAATTAAATATATCTATAAAGTTTAAAAGAAAATAGAAGTAGTTATAAAACCATTATTCAGAAGCTTTGCAATAGTTAGTGATTGATACAGCTATAACTCCTGACAGTCCTTTAGAAACAGGATTCATTATCAGTGCAACATAGATCAGATAAACAGACTTCAGACATTATTCTTGGACTACCCACAGTGCTACAAACTTAAAAAGCCGTTCTCAAATCAAGCATATAAGAATGATGCACAGTAGAATCTTGTAAATATCTTATTAGATTCATCAAAGTGATATGCATGTGGTAAACATCAAACAAAAACCAAATAGTCCATCCAGAGGGTTTATAGTGGACATGCTACTTGCCCCCCCCAAGAAACTTTTAAAAAATAATTTCTCATTTTAATTCTTCCAACAGTTTCTACTGTGTCTCTGAATAATTTGCTTCTACCTTCTTACGTTAGCATTTTAGAGAATATTTACTCTCCCCTTTTTGAAAAATGTAATTTATTACGACTCTCATTCCCCTTTCTCTTAACTTCTCCCAGTACTTATAATTTTCTGTTTAAATTGTTGCTGACTACCTTTTAAACCTTAAATTATACAATTAAACATTTATTTTTTTTTTGTTCTATCAACGTTCAGTAATATCTCCTTGAGGGTGCCTAACATGAAGAAAACCAGCAAACTGAAAGGACATTTTTTCAAAAGCTCCACTGCAGAGCTTGAGTGTTTGTAAACTGAGCTGCTGCCGCTGCCATTTTGACTCATCTGCAGATTGCCTCTATCCATTTTTAAAATGTTCTTTTTAGGCTCAGTGCCTGCGGCTCAAGTGGCTGAGGCACCAGCCACATACACCTAAGGTGGTGGGTGGAAATCCAGCCCAGGCCCACCAAACAACAATGATGGCTGCAACCAAAAAATAGTCGGGTGTTGTGGCAGGCGCCTGTGGTCCCAGCTACTTGGGAAGCTGAGGCAGGAGACTCGCTTGAGCCCAGGAGTTGAAGGTTGCTGTAAGCTGTGATGCCATAGCGCTCTACCCAGGGGGACAGCTTGAGGCTCTGTCTCAAAATAAAATAAAATAAAATAAAATTTTCTTTTTAAATACAAAACATATACAGAACAGCGCACAAATCTACAAATTATCAGCAAGTGAACATCCATGTAACTGCCCTCCCGTGTGTCTCCCTCCTGTCTCTTCCCAATCACTCCTCCTCCTGCCCTTCCCCAGAGATTAATGTTCTCATGACTCATCTTAAACAGTTCCTTGACTTTCTGTATAGTGTACACTTGCATGCATCCCTAAACACTGTAGTTGTGTTTATGTTTTACTTCGTAGTTAGGTTTGGAGAACTTTAAATGAATAGGATCATATAGTGAGTAATTCTTTAAGTCTTATTTTTATCATTCAATGGTATGTTTGTGAGATTTGTGTCTGTTGTGAAATGTAAATGCAGTTCATTCACTTCAAGACTATGCAGTATTCTAACATATGAATGTGACATCATTGATTTAGTCATTCTACTTTTAATGGACAAATATGAATTGTTTCCAATTTGGGGCTATTTTAGAAATTGCTGCTGTGAACATTATTGTATTAAATATGTGTCTCTTGGTGTTCATTTGCATACTTTTCTATTGGCTAGATTAGAATTGCAGAGTCATAAAGCATCTTCCCTTCAGTAGATAATGCCAAACTGTTTTTCAAAGTAGTTATACCAATTTAGAGTCCCACCAGAAGTATAAGAAAGCATGCGTTGTTCTGTATTTTCACCAATTCTTACTATTATTTGTCTTTTTCATGTGGGCACTCATGAAAAAGTAGAATGGTGTGTAGTAGTAGAATCTCACTGTAATTATTGCTTATATCTCCCTGATTAATAATGATATTGACAACATTTTATGTGTCTCATGACCATTTTAGATAGTCTTTTGTGACATGACCGTTTTTAGTAGGGCTCATTTTTTTTATTTGAAGAAGTGTATTATATATTGTCAGTTATATGTGTGGCAAATGTATGTTCCACTATGTGGCTTGTCCTCTCACTATCCTAAAGTGCCCCAGATGGAAAAGAAAGCATGTAATTTCAGCATCATACAATTTATCAGTCTTTTTCTTTTTGACTAATGCTTTTTTATGAACAGTTAAGAAATCTTTCCCTGGACGGGGTGTGGTGGCTTATGCCGAGCACTCTGGGAGGCAGACAGGTGGATCGCCTGAGCTCGGGAGTTCAAGACCAGCCTGAGCTAGAACAAGACCCTGTCTCTTAAAAATAAATAAATAAATAACCGGGCACTGTGGTGAGTGCCTGTAGTCCCAGGAACTTGGGAGGCTGAGGCAGGAGAATCACTTGGGTCCAAGAGTTTGAGGTTGTTGTGAGCTATGACGCCACAACAATCTACCAAGGGTGACAGAGTGAGACTCTGACTCAAAAAAAAATTTTTTTCCCTACCCCAAAGTCACAAAGATGTTTGCCTTCAAGTTCTTCTGAAAGTATTATTGTTTGCCGTTCACATTTTAGATCTTCAAACCACTGCTCCAACTGATTTTGTGAATGGGGTATATAGTAAGAGTCAATTTGCATGTTTTCTATATGGGCATTCAGCTGTCTCAGCCCCATTTAATAAAAAGGCCATCCTTATTGTTCTAAAATACTACTATTTACATAGATCAAGTGTTCATGAGTCTGTTGGAAGATTCTCAATTCTGTCCCATTGACCAATATATTTATCCTGTCTTAAAAACTAGACCTTTATAATAGACCTAAGTATGTGGTAAAGCAAATCCCCAAACATTGTTTTCTTCTCCCAAGTAAATTCCATTTGCATATTATAGAATAAAATAGTCAACTTCTAGAAAAAGAACTATTGAAATTTCTTTGGAATTATCTTGTATCTATAAGGGTCTTACTCAGTCACCCAGGCTGGAGTGCAACACAACTCACTACAACTTTGAATTACTGGGTTCAGGTGATCCTCCTGCCTCAGCTTCCTGAGTAGCTAGGACTATAGGTACAG